ATCTGCAAAGACTTCCCGGCGTGCAATGCACTAAAACTAACGATTTCTGGTTGTTCTAGGCTCGTCTGAGTCTGAGGGGCTAGGCAATCCCTTACCTTTTACTGCCACAGTTTTTAATGTTGGGCAATTATAGCAAATTTCCAGGCCGGACCTCGAGAGAATTTTCTGGACCTCTGATTTTTTTTGGTCATTTGGACATAATTACAAGTATATGTAATTGAGGCGTGCGAAGATTTTGCGGGGGTATAGCACATAAACCACTGGTAACCCTGTGTTGGTTGCTATGGCGACATTGGTGGATCTTGTTTCAAATGGAAGGACTGGCCAAATTCTTTTATGGAAGTGTGTTTTTTACAGTTGCATTGTGATGGTTGCCAGGGTGATGTCAGCCGTAGCAATTTCCATGCAACGGCTGCTATGGCTGTTCTTATGATGATGGTTGCTATGGCCATTGTACCATTGGCACCTTTTTGGAGTGTGTTTCCAGCTGCCCTAGTGATTGGTTGCCAAAGTGATTGCCTTACAGCAATGCCATCATTATGTGTTGTCTGGTGACAATAGTCACAATGGCCTTGTCTGCGTTCTGGCAATAGTCACCATGGCACCACACAGTCTCCAAAAAACATTGGCCCTGCTTCATCATTGTACATAAGATTTTTTCGTGTTGTTTGAATAGAACTGTTCTCCTCTTCGCAATCTGAGCCACAGTTTGGAAGTTAAGACTCTTATTGACTGACGCTCATGTCGATGGTGCAGTTGTGTAGACCTCACAATTCATGCTTTCAAAGTTGTTTTGTGCATCAATATCTGGTGTATCCTTCTTGAGTGATACATGAAGGGATAAACCAGTGTTCTGAACATGCACGAGGGACAGTGGACAGATGGTGTGGTTGTGTTTTGCAGGAGGTGGTGATCTCGGTCAAAGACGTGGATCTGTGATGTCAGAGGACTGGGCGATGCGCTACGTTTCATCGCCAATGGAAGGAAACCTTGCACCTGAAACGCCCACAATCAGGTAACAACAGATGTGTCTTAATATTAGTTTTGACTGTTTAAACTTATGTCTGGAACTCAATATGAATTTACACATTTTTAAGATTGTATTAAATTGAACTGCTGGCATAAATATTGATACAAAACAACTCTTTTTATGAATTCTAATAGTTACGGTAAGTCCCGCATTTCCCTTCTCTTAGCTATAGCTCAGAATCCATGATGCGTCACGTTAACCAACCAAGTGATGCAGGGTGTCAATCATCGGCGCTGATGCTGGGTAGCTGAGCGATGCTCAGTTGTTTGTTTTTCACGTAGCCTCCGAATTCAAGCTTTTATAGCTCTGGAATACAATGACACTGAACCAAGAATTCTGAACATCCGCGCTGAGTTACCCATTTATTCTGAACCCTTATCCATATCATTTATATATGAACCTATATCCATAATCATTTTAATACTGAACCTATATGAGGTGTTCACAGGTAATAGTAACAGTATCTGGACCTTTAAAGGTTTATACTTATAAAAACTAAAATTTGTTTCGAAGATTGGAAAAAGATTTCAAATCACAGACACATTGAAGAAATAATGGGAAAAAATCAAAAGGAAAGATTGAACATAAAAATGTTAGCAACTTTTAAAGACCATTATGTGCCTCTGATTGGAACCATTTCTACTGTGACGCCAGTTACTAGAAACTAAAATGTCCTCAGTCTGAAAAAGCAGACGATGAAATCACAATATTTACATGGCTAACAAACCATAAGTTAAATCATTGATTATAAAAAGGAATCGTGAAAAAATAAAAATATTTAATTAATTAAATGACCTGAAAAATGTATAAGGACGTGATTGAGGACGGTCTCTTTTCTCTAAACATTAAACTTGAGAAGAAAAAAAAATTGGTCTGTTTTCACATTAATTGGTGACAATATGAAAGTATCACTTCGTGCATTACTTTGGTGTATAAAATAGAGATCTCTGGAATCAAATGTGGACAGCTGAAAAAATAACCTACAAACTTCCACAAAGCTATTCCGTCAAATCATCACGTCCAGTTACATAAAATAAACAGGGCCGCTATAGGAAACTTGTCTAATGTATAAAACAGTTATGTTCCAGAAGTCTAATGGACAGGGAGGTGTTGGAAACACGAAATACATAAAATATCTTCTGATTATTACAATCCAATTTTTGGCCTTTTGTCACATTTTGTGCCCTTTAGTGTGAAAAACCATAAAAAAAAAAAAACACAAAAAAAAAAAAAAAAAAAAACAAAACAAAAAAAAAAAGATGTAAAAAAAAAACAAAAAAAAGCCACATCCATAATCATTTATATACTTGAACTATATCATAATTCATTATATACTGACCCTTATCCATAATCATTTATATACTGAACCTATATCATAATCATTTATTACTGAACCGTATATCCATTAATCAATATCTACTGAACCCATATCCATAATCATTTATATATGAACCATATCCATAACTCAGTTTATATAACTGAACCTATATCCATAATCTTTTTATACTGAACCCATATCCATTATCAGATCCTCTGCAGTTGTTCCTATAATGTTCAATCAATGTTAATCGCACTTCCGGTGTTTACAGGCGATCGCCTTTTTTTCATGCCATTAATTAAAACATATATTTTTATGAAACGTTTAACAACTACTTCTGAAAAACCTGCGTGCATGTGTATTTATAATGTATATGTTTAATGTGTATCTCAGATTAAACGTTTTTTAAATTATGTTACGGAAACGTAGGCATAGACAATCAGAAAGGAAAAGGAAGGGGCGGGAGCTGGTCGTTTTTTTCAAACCTGGTACCTCGCTCTCTTTTTGACAAACTCCCAGACAAATCACTTTAAAGATAGTGCATTGGTCCATGAGGGGCAGAGGACCAATGTCCATAAATGTTGTTGAATTGTGGAGTGTCCTAGATCACCCCCCTGTCCCCCCTCCTCTTCATATTAGACCCTCTGATTTAACTCCAACTGTAATTGGACAAAAGCTGTAAAGTGGGACGACCACCAGATCTCCCAGACTCTGCGGTGGGAGAGGACCAGAGAACAGAAAGCAGAGCAGATCAAGCCATTTCAGGCATAGAATGGAGAGAATATTTAAAAGTGGGGTGCGAAAGCCTTGCCCTCTGGTCCCACTCACACACAAGGGTGCTTTAGATGCGCAGTGAAAGAACGCAAGTCAGGGCGTAAAGCACACCGCTGGGCGCTGCTGCTGCTGCGCTGTAACCCAGGAGGCTCGGGCTTCACAGAGCTGCAATTAGAAGAGCTCCATCTGAGTGCTCCATCAAGTCCTGGCTCTGCCCCTGCTCATGTTCACACAGCAGAAGCAACTGTCCTTGTGCCTGCAACAGTCTGAGGTTTCACAGCAGCCGAGAGCTCTTCAACAGGATCCAACACGGTCATGAAAAATAAGGGCCTTAATGTCAATGTGGTTTTACTGCAAATGGCAAATACAAATGATTGAATCGATCTGATCTTGAAAAGTAAGTTGTTGCCGGTATAGATGGAGTAGATAAGTTAATTTGTTACTTCTGTCTTGGGTTAAATGCAGGTGCACTCAGCAGAAAACACACCCTATCCGTACAAAAAAAACATAATTCTAAGTAGCTAAAAGTAGTAATATAATGCAACAGCAATATAGGTCACAGCAGCAGAGGTGGTGTTTGTAGCCGCGGGAGGAGCTGCTTCTCTCCTCTGATAGACCATCGCGTGGTTTAGAAATGTGAGGCGTTTTATATAGAGTGGTTATGATCCAATCATTTATGTTGATTTAGGCCTGATTTTCTATAATAACAAAAAATGCATCACTTTTACATAGCTCCCTTTCAGACCACTCTCAAAGTTGCTTCACATGACATTGCAGGTGTCCACCAGCTGTATTCTTTCACTCAAAGCCCGGTGGTGATAAACTACTACTGTAGCCACTGCTGCCTGGGCGCTTGACGGAGCAAGGCAAACCAGTTGTGCATCAGCCTCCCACCACCCCCAACCAGTTACACACTCTAGACTCATTCTAATTTGGGTGAAGTGGGTGCCTAAGGACATAACAGCAGTTTGCAATTTACAGCCGCCCCATGTGGCACCTGGTGTTCCAGAGGGTCTCCATCACAGTACGGAACCAGGCCTGCCCTTGTTAGCTTCAAAGGTCCCAGCAGCAGTCGCAGTAGATAGTAGTAGCAGCTAGTAGCAGCTGTACCAGTGTGGTAATTAGTAGCAGTAGTAGCTAGCAGCAGCAGTTGTGTAGTCGAAGCAGCAGCAGCGCAGCAGTCGCGAGTAGCAGTAGAAGTAGTAGTAGCAGCTGCAAGTAGCAGCGCAGCAGCCGTTTGCCGCAGTGGGTAGTAGAACATATGTGGATATCTCTCATGGTCATGTGAGGTGCAGTAGTGGAAAAATACATGGTATTTCTGTCATGGTCTGTACCAAAGTCTGTAAACTCCAGTCCGCTGTGGAGCGCGTACGCACACACACACACATATGGATTGCTCACGCAATCGTTCACACACACTCCTAGAGAGGACCTCCAACACTCGCCCAACCAGCTCTCAACCCAGAGGTGACTCAGAGGGAGCTTTCTTACAAATTTGCAGATAAGCCAATTTCAATTTTCATCAGTGCGTGATGTGGTCTGATTTGTTTTACAGTTTTACCAAGACTTTTACAAGTATGTATAATTTAAAGTACTTCAGCTTACCTTTTTCCTTAAGGCTTACAACTTAACTGGTGCCAAAACGCCTGTGCAATGCATAGTCATGCCTCTTTGCCCAGGGTTCACACAAAGTCTCAAAAGCCTTTCATGTATAAGAATATGAGCATGTGTGTCTCACCAGTGCGTGTCTGAGTTTTACCCTCTCTTCACAATTTGAATAGTAACTGACTTTCACTTTCAAAAGGCTTGAATTTCAACTCAATCCAATTTATTTATAGAGAAAATTTAGTTAATTTAGTTGAATGCAGACAAATAATTCTAACAAGCACTCACGGTGGGCGTCCTCTGGCAGGTGCGGCTGTTGGAGGTGTCACAGTGGGGTCGTGAGTTTGGCTTTGGGCTCCTGGGGTCCTGGGCGTGGGGGGGCTGAGCTGAGGATTGGATGTGGCTCCTCTTGTACTTTTGCTGCTCACACACGGCTGAGCACTGCGGAGATGATGAGTCCCCAAACTCTGGCTGGAGCTCTGTCTGAAGAAACCGGCTCTCAGCGTCTATAAAAGTACGATTGATGCTGTATTTCCACTTCAGAACGTGTGGTCGGAGATGGGTGTAGTTTTCTTTCTTGTTTTTAAATTTTTTATTTATATATATTTTTATGAAATGCATTAAATTGAAATGTATAAATAATCGCAATCACCTCTATATTGATGCTAATGTCCATACTGCTGATGTACGTGTCAGTAGTAAATATGGTATTAGATGTAGGATTACTCTGCATAACCTCATTATGAATTGAAATCATTCTAGTAAAGCTGTTCCAACAGAAAGAGTAATGTAAAAGTAACATATGAACCAATTATTATTAAAAAAACAATCTTTTGCATATTTGCCCAAAAAGAAAGTAAGCAAAAGATAATGAGTCGTTTGGTCAGAGAGCTGATAGGCTGAGTGAGGGTGGTCCTCTCAGAAACTTTTCTATCTGAAAAAGTTGATCTGAAGATGTGTCAAAGGCCAAAAACTATTTTTAGAGCAAGGAACTAGTTTGGGGGATTTGAATACATAGTTTCATATTTGTGATTTGAAAGTTTGGTACCCCAGCTTTAAGATTTTTCAATACACTCCTTATCAGTGCCTATTAGCTAAATTAATTCTTTTTATTAAGAATCTATGATGAGGTCCATTGTTGTTATTTATGGTTTTCCATAAATAATAAACCTAATTATTATACTAATAAACCTGTATAATAATATGTGTAATAAATAATTGTTTATGGGTCAGAAGTATCATATAGATAGTACTGATGAATATGTGAATACTGTTTGCAAACTGATGCAATTTATCAGATGTGTGCCTCAAATAAAAGTAAGAGTTTAGGCCTATTTGTATCACATTAGTTTATGGAGGAGCAGACGGGACCTTGTTGGTGTCAGCTCCAGGAGAAGAGGCCAGTGACTGCTGGGAGCAGGAACTCTCCAGCTCTATGTCTTCATAAGGGTTTTCTTTATCTGCAGAGGCACGAACAGCTTTAGATCCAACCACACATTATACTGTCAGGAGAAACACAACTCTATCTATTTGAAAAGCACAGCCCCAATGTAGACACTGACCTAATATGTCTTCGTAGTGGTGCTCCGGAGGCCGAGCCCGAGGGAGCAGCGACCTTGTGTGCTCTGGTTCCAATGACTTCCTGTGTGAACAATGCAACAAATTTAAGAGAAGTGTCACTTTCTCTCCCATTCGGTCTCCCATCACGGTACTAACCTGGTCACAACTGCTTTGCTTCTGAGATCAGATACTACGAATACTTTCAAACAATAATGTTAACTTGACTCATGCTTGTCCTTGATAGGCTTTAATCTTATAAAGTATATGCAGAGGTCCGGTTTTCTATAACTGTTGAATTGCACAGAGGACTCACATGTCACATTCAGACAAGGATAATTTCATGCCTGGAATTGGCTTCAAACAGCAACTATCAGACATCATTGATTTGATGAAGTCCTGTAAACATTGGTTTGACTGTTGTAAATGTTTCATATTTAAATCTGCTGTTGACAGATCAAATATTTAGTTGGAGACTACTGTGATGTTGAGCTTCGGTAGAAAATATACGGCCAAACAAGTATCAAGGAGAAAACAATGCTTGCCCTATCCCTATACCACCACCAGTTTGAAGTTTTTTTCTGTTTTTTTTTTTTTTTTCAAATATGATAATCATCATCCTTTCAACAAAATTTTGAGGAATAAATGGAGGAATAAATGGCAGAAAACTCTTTTGATTGGGATGTCATGATGGTACAATGACATCATACTGATGAAGCTTAAGCACAAATTCAGACTGGAAGACCAAAGAGACGTCATGCTGCCACACTGACTCCTCCCTCTACACTCCTGCACTGAGCTCAACATCAGCCTCAGCTGCTCAGTAACAGACCTGACCCCGTCACTTCATGGCTGCATTTAATCAGAGCCTGATTGGGGGTGAAATTAAGTTTTATATAGTGTTTTTTTTTGGATACTGAAAGATGCTTCACGTGTCATTATTCATCCATACACGGTTACAGCTGTAACCGTGTGTGACAACCAGTATGTGCTATTGGCCCCTCCAATCCCTACTCTCCATTCATGCACGCATCAGACTCATTCTAGGCCATGCGGGAGAAGTGTCCTGCCCTGACACAATAGCAGTTTGAGATCTGACTTTCACATGCAGGTGGCGCATCAAATGGATTTACATGTTTGCACCAGAATTTAAAATATTTTTCACTGCTCTTTTATTGAAAGCCTTCTCAGCTTTTCTTGTGTCTGTTGCTTCCAAAGCCTGAAGCTGAAGGACAAACACAAGTTGCAGAGCATTGTGAAAACTTGCTCTAAAATCACTGCGGAAAAACTCTTTGTTGAAAGAACAGGTTCTGAGAAAAGCAAGATGTATTAGGGCTCAGCCCAAACATCCTCTGATCTCTGACTTTGCCATGATGCCTTCAGGGCGTCGTTTTACTGCTTCTGCTCGGAAACCAATCTTTTGTGCCCTCTGCTATAAAACTGTTGAACTCTGGAGGAGTTTGACTTTTGGGAATTGTTGAGTTGTGTATTGTATTGTTTTAAATTTTTAACCTGCTTGTTGTGTGTTTGTGTAGAGTCTGTGTGTTCTGCTCTGAGATTATGCTGCAAATTAATTGCCCTTTGGGATCAAAACAGTTTTCCGAATCTGAATCTGAATGGATCTAATAAACATATTTATTTGTTATTAAACAATATAGTGTTCAGTAACAATGCATTTTCCTTGTATTGTTAGACTGTTACCTGGGAGCGGTCTCAGTCTCTTCATCCTGTACTTCTCCGGGACAGCGGGGGGCACAGGTCTTATGGGAGGGCAGGGGCGGCAGGTGCCTCGGGCCTCTGGCAGGGTCCCGCTGTGGGACGGGTGCTGGAAGGTGCGCCTGGGTTTGGGCACTGGGTTGATAGATTCCGTTGGAGATATCTTCTGCCCAGTAAGGCCCTTTGTCCTCCTCTCCTCCTCCTGAGTGACTTTCGAGGGAGGACTGAAGTAGTTTCCGAGCTCGGCCGTAGTTCTGCCATCATCCATTGCTTCTAATTTCTTAAAAAGACTAAATACGGCTTTCCGTTCTTGGCTGGTGGAATCTTTATTTCTTTTGAGGCTTCCAAATTGTAGTTTCTCCACCATAACAGGAGTATTCTTTGGTATATCTCCACATGTCTCCACTTCATTTTTACTTTTATAACAGATTTTTTTTTGCCTTGTCTTCTGGTGGTTCTTTCAGCAGTGTACCATCCGCCTCATGATCCTCTGTTGTGTTTTGGCCGTTCAAATGACTGTGATCTTTTTCCTTATTGCAGCTTTTGGTCAGTGAACTCTTTATCGTAACACTAACGCTTGCAGAGTTTGACCCGGACAAGTCCTTTTTCTCCCAAAGTGATATTTTGTCCTTAATGTTGGGTTTTGAGAGTTACAGTCGACAACTTACAGTTTTAAACTAATATTATTTCATTTTAATTTTTCCTATTAATCTCTTTAAACGTGTGTGTGAGTTTGAAATTGTTTTAGCTCTATAGTACCAAACTATTCCATGTTTACCCCACCAATGAACAGACCTTAGTTTATTTATTTTTTCAGGTTGCACATACCTTATCATTTTGAAACAATAAAATCCTCTGAAACTATTATGTGTTTCCTTTTCGATGAACTGATTGTGAATGTTTGCAGCTAACACCTAGGAGTTATTTGTAGTAGTTGTGGATGACATTCTTTATCCTCAAAAAGCCTCCAGTTCTTGTAAATTCCCGGGCTGTCTTGTATGAGCTACACATTTAACATCTCCCCAGAGCAGCTCAATTATGTATATTATCTGTGAATATTATATGAGTGTTTCCGTTATCGTTTATAATCTCCAAAATATGCTCAAAACGATGAAATCTATGACTGCGTGTGTAATCTTTCAGCTCATTTGTATACTATTAATCATGTAGATTTTTTCTCAGGACACATTAATCGGTCTGAGGCACCAACTCGATGAAGTGAAGTCCATCAATGTTGAGATGTACCAGAAAATGCAGGTATTGCGTTGCAAAGTGGAGCTTATGTCTCTCACCCGGTCCAGGATTACATTTGATTACACACCTTTCGACTTTTCACAGACTTCCGACGATGAGATGAAGAAAAAGAATGACATGATCACTCGGCTCGAAGAGAAAACCAATCAAATCACTGCCACCATGAAGCAACTGGAGCAAAGGTGAGTAACTCCTAAAGAACAACATATAAAACCGTGTCCTACGTGAGGTGTGTTTTGGTTGCTTTTATCTGTAATGTTGTGAGCCCTCTTGTCGTCCCATTTTTCGCCCTCCCATCCCACACCCATTGTTTTAGTGATTGCCATGTGACTATAAATGTTTAGAAAATAAGTTATATTAAAGCTGGGGTACCTAACTTTCACGGTACAAATAGATGGATTGTATTACTAGTTTGTTCATACTTGTTGTTTTCGGCCTTTGTCACTTCTTTAGACCAGCTTTTTCAGGCCAATCAGCTCGGCTCTTTCTTACCAGATCTCCCGAGATAACATGGTCTGTTACTTTTACTTGACTCTTTCTGATATTTTTTTGGTATTATTTATGAGGGGGGAAAGCTAGGTACCCCAGCTTTAATGTTCTACACATTTATTGCAATATTGAGAAAGGGATGGGACATTTTCTCGCACGACATAGGTGTTGAAAAATTGTACACACAGTTTTGGTCTTCAGACATTAGCGCTCATGGTTGATGACGGCAAAAAATGAAATACAAAAATTATTTAAAAATGTGAACGCACCCTTCATATTTCTTGTTGACCCAATCTAGAGTCTTGTCCCACCCCAATTATATGCTCATATACATTTCAGTCTGGATTTTCACTTACCACACCCATATCATTTACCAGTGTAGTGCCATAAAGTAGGGCATCATGGGAGATTAGTTGTGTATTGACCGTCTTTCTTGCTTCTTTTCCTCTTTTCTTCTGCCCTGTGTCCACCGTTTTGACCCATTATTCATTCATTCATCTTATAATTTCGATCATCACATAACCTAATGCAGTGACAAAGACCTGTTGAGCCAGACACGAACTCTCGCTATGTCGTTCGTAAAGTGTGCCAGCACAGACACAGAGCACCAGTATAAACTCGTCAAGGACATTTCTTTCTGAAGTTTGCTAATACAGGAGCTAAACTTTCTACTAGACGATGAATTGGTCACATTTGTGTTTTCTAGCACAATTTTTCATTTAGAACCAGGACAATGTTTGTATTTTTTCTTACTAGAACATGAATATTCCAAAGTAAAAGGGGGCATATATCCTAATTGCATACATACCTGATCAGACATTATAAGCTCTGCATATGTTAAAATACTAAGCATGACTCCAGTGCAAAAAAGCCAGGGTTTTGATCACAATACAGGTTGTAAAAGCGCTTTACTCTCCATAAAGTAGACAACACTAATAGGTTTTTCAGTCTCTTGCATGTCCCTACTTTGCTGATTGGTTTGGTCAGACAGGAGAGCTCCAGGCTGTGAGCTATACTCTGCATGTGTTGCTACAATTTTACCCTCATTAGTTTGAACTGTAAATCTAAGAGAGATTAAAAATTCCACAAACAACTAGGCAGTTGAACTTGTGAAAGTGGTGTATTTGGAAACATGTAAACGTTATATGCGGGATGCAGGATATGTTGATGTGTTGTGTGGCTTTTTATTGTGCACTAGAAATAATCCTACTCCCCTCCCTGACAGCTTATTGACAAGGAAAACCCATAGTTAATAATAATATTAATGCTGAGGGTTAGGGTTAGTGAGTACTGTCTGTTTAGACTGTGACCCACAACGATCAATAAAATGTGTTTTAAGTATTTTATTTGTGTCTTTTTTGTAGTTTATGTGATTGGGGAGTGGTTGGGACAGGGGGCCAGACTATGTAGACTCATGTCAAATGCATTGTCCACCTAATTTAAGAGTTTTATACCTAAAGTAGCTCCAGTTCCTCCAGTTCTATCCCCAGCAACATCCTCATCGTTTTTATTTTTGCTTTGTCATTATAATTCTACCATTTGTCATTCTTCACCCGTTTGAGTTTTTTTCTCTCCATGGCCCTGAGTTTGTCCCTGGTTATAATGGTGCAGATTACAGGAGGCCGAAAGACACCGGACCTCCGCCGAAGAGGGAACCAGGCGCTTCAAGCTGGACTTTGCCAACAAGGCCGACAGCATGCAACGGCAGATCGCACAGAGGGAGAAACAGCTGTAAGCCGAGGCCTGTCTACTGTGTATACACCACATGTTTAGAGTTCAGTTACTTCATTACAGTGACATGAAAGTGCTGTGAATGAACAGATGTTGATTTCATGTTTGCAGGCAGCAGCTTGAGACGGACCTTAAGATTGAGAGGGAGTGGAGACAGACGCTGCAAAATGACCTTCACCGAGAGCGGGATGCTGTGGCCCAGCTCGGCACAGAGGCCCTGCAGATAAATGGGTTAAAAAAAGTAAGACATTAATTATATACATGTTACATGTGTAACTGTAGCAGAATGACACATTGTCTATTTTCACACATGTAGGAGTTTCATCGTCTTCAGGATGAGAACGTGCAGTTAAAGTCAATCTGTGAAGACCAGGAGCAGGCGCTGGAGGAGCTCGGCTCCAAACTGAGCGAGTAGGTTCCGTCTCCCTCCATTTGCATACGGGTATCAGGGTGGATACAACCTTGTTATTTGTTACTTGTATTTTATCCTCTGATTTGTTTAGTCTGCATACACTTCCTGTAAAGTTTTGTGGGACCTCCACCGTCTCCATCAAAGGAAAACATTTTAGATGTTTAAATAAAAAATGAATTTTTTTTTGTATTTCTAGATCCAAATTGAAGATTGAAGACATCAAAGAGGCAAACAAAGCCCTCCAGGTAAAGCAAATGTGTGATTTTACAGCTTAGCATGTTTTATCAGGGTTAGTCTGGGATAACTCCGAAAGTACTTTCAGGAAAACAGTAATGGCACAATGAATGTGTACATGCAGGATTTTTAAGGAATATTTTGGAGCTGATTCCATAACTTTTTCTATGACTACTTTTCCAGTTTTATACATGACCCAAACTTGATGAGAGCCTCATACCGCATTGTGTTTGGGTTGAGGAAGAATAAAGCATACGTTAACCTCAAAGAGAAACTATAATTTAGAGATGGATGTTATTTCAAATCTAAATCTTACTTATAAATCTTGTATTAAATGATCTTTTGTTTCAGGGCGGTCAGGTTTGGTTAAAAGACAAAGAAGCCACCCACTGTAAGCTGTGTGAGAAGGAGTTTTCAATCTCTCGACGAAAGGCAGGTCTATTCTTTTCATTCTCTCCTGTGCAGCTCTACATGTTTATTTTCACTTGTGTTTTTCTCTGCAGCATCACTGTAGAAACTGTGGAGAGATCTTCTGCAATGGTTGCTCTGACAACGAGCTGCCGCTGCCGGCCTCGCCCAAACCGGTGCGAGTGTGTGACACGTGCCACGCCCTCTTGCTGCAGCGCTGCTCCTCCAACGCCACGTGAAGAGGCCACTCGTGCCAACTATCAATGCATGGACTAGCCACTTCTGTATTCTATTTATTTATATGAACATTCTCCATTCACACACGTTGCATCGCCCAACATTCACATTTTAAATTTATTTTTAAAACACCAAGTACTTTTCCAGTGATTCACTTAAGTCTTAAATTGTGTACAACTAAAATAGGTACGTTCATGAGACATCACAACATTCCAAAGAACCTATTGTTTAATTTATGGTGGAGGGTGGCTGGAAAATCATTCCTGGTAAATTTGAGCTGTCATTAGTCATTTTCCCTATTTCTTGGGATAGTCCACATGAAACAAAACTTGAATGTATTGGTTTAATATTGCAGTCATTATTTGGACTCTCAAACGCTTCAGTTGGAATTAGTCTTTCACTCCGTAGTCACAACTGTAGCCACAGCTGCAGCCACAGCTGCACTGGGGCAGACTGACAGAAGCAAGACCACCCTCCGGCCATTCACGCACACACCACTCTCACTAGGCAAAGTGGGTGTAGTGTCTTGCCATCTTTGTCAGTACACAACAAAGATCAAGAATCAAAGTTGCCTAGAGGAGGTGACTGTAGAAAGGACTTACACAATATGTAGGCTTTGTGAAACTAATCAAATGATCTGGGAACTCCAACTGAAATACAATTTCCAAATGTAATCCATTCTGAAGATGCCTGTGTTGCCAGTTCAAATCCTCATGACCAGTGGTCTAAACATTTCTTAACTGGTGCTCAATGGATTGACAAGCTCACATTTACTCATTGGTACTTGAGTAAATGCCCATCTAACCCTTGTGCTATTCTTGGGTCAAAAAGACCTGTCGCACATGATATAAGTAGAAAAATTCCTAAATTAGGGTCTAAATGACCTAGGGCTGGTCAAGTTAAGAAAATTCTTGAAAATGTAGCTATTAAAAAGGGGTATTTGGCCCGAGAATAGCACTAGGCTTAAATGTGTTAAAATACATATCGTGATCTGATAATTTGCATTGTAACTTTTGTACTGCTGCTCAAGAAGTGAAGGTTTTGGAAATCAAAACTGCCTAAAATGTCTTGAATATCACACTTCAGTGATTTTTATTTTTTTTTACTTAATTTTGCCTGATGGTTTACTGACAACTTATTACATTTGTTTAGTATTATGAAATCACTGTGGCCTTTTGCTGGATAAATTCTGCCAATGATGTTTGCCAAGAATTAACTGTGTAGCGATCTAATTAAAATCACATTTGTAAGAAAGTCTTGAACTTTTCAATTAAAACAAGTAATGACAATTAAATATAAAATTTAATATGCAATGTACAACAGCTGCTTTTACAGCTGAAATATAAACCTTTTACTTCTGCTCTCCAAGGGCAGAATACAATATTAAAGTTATTTAATGAACTTTCAAAACATTCATAAAACACAAAGCTCACATTCATCTTATAAATTAGCTGATCTGAAATCTGAACAATCCAGAAACACCACATAACAAACTTAAAATACACCTCTGCTATAACATAACTTCAACCATTAAACTTATTCAATATTGTTTAAAACACCAGGACCCTCTTTTTAATATTAGCTCAGTTTTATCTGATGTCAGATCAGCTCTAGACTAACGTGGCCAAAGGGAAGAGCAACACAAAACAGTCAAATGGGAGAAATGATCAATACACTGATCGTAGACCACTGCTCCGAGAGTGACTGAAATAGCCACTTCCTCGACCTGTAAAGACAGTGATGACAGAATTACAGTAAATAGGTTTTTAATGATCAAAGTTCAAATTGAATCTTACTTGTTTCAGTGGAGCCACTTGCCGTAGAGTTGAGGAAAAGTTCAATATAACGATGCTCTGTGAAAAGACATTGTTTTAAAGAAGCATTACCAAAAAGTCTGAGATTTAGAGACTTACGCATGTTGTTTTTGTCTTTGGACATTGCGGCGACTGCATCTTCATGCGAGCAAAACTCTACATCTGCCTCTCCAGTCGCTTTTCCATTGTGAGTCACATCAATGTGAACCCTCACAGGATTCAATGGTGCAAAAAACTAAAATACAACAGTATCAGAGATAAGATCAATTTACACCTGAAGCCATCCTTGGATATAACTTTACTTTTGCTATGTCTCCTTCTGATGCACGGAAAGGCAGCCCCCTCATGTGGACAAAATGACCATTGTGGAGGCCTGAACCACTGCTCCCTTGACTATGGCCTACAATATCAAAAATACAATTATTCAATGAAAAATAACAAACTTGTGACAAATTTTTTTTCCAAATTTCTTACCTCTTCCACCTCTGTCACCTCTGTTCCCTCGGCTGCGGTCATCAAACATGCCATTACCAAAATTGTAATTATTGATTCCATTGTAGTTGTCAAAGCCTCCATATCCTGGGGAAAAGTCAAGTGCCTTTATTCATAACTACAGAAATGTCCTGTGTGTTTCCCGCCTTAAAAACACTGGTCATACCTCCACCATAACCACCACCACCACCTCCTCTGACATTATCCATCAGAGCACCGCCACGTCCTGGGCTGGGGCCATAAAACCCTCCCCTGGGGCTGTTCATCACTGGTCTATCGTAGGGTCCGGGTCGCTGTGCTCCCAGACCACGCCGAGAATACACCTCATAGTAGGCTCGGATCTCATTACGGCTACTTTTGAAGATCTCTATGTACCTGGAACATGTGGTACATAGAGAAGAGAAAGTCAACAGGAGAAATGGTCCAGTGCACAACCCAAGATACTTTCCCTATAAATAATGTTTGAATTAAAACTGAATTTAACTTTGACTATCACTCACAGGAACATGTCAAAAATATAGAAATACAATTAATCATTAAAACACCCCTTCCTTCTTACCACTAGCAATTTGAAAGCATTTTAAATGTTTAACAGACAAAATTACAGTGCCCACTTAAAATAATTGATCAACCAGCCCAACCAGTCCAGCCCGTCCCAATCCCGTCCCACCTGTGCCCTATTCTTTCCTTGTGTTTCCCCAGAGCCTTTTCTGCTATCTCCTTTGAGGCAAACTGCACGAAGGCTTCCCCTGTGCTCCTCCCCTGGTAGTCCACTGGCAGAGTAATCCCATTTGGCACGATTCTCAACCCTTCAACCCAAGCACACATAAATACATTGGTCGGTAAAATTTAAAAGAAAAGTCAAAACCCACAAATCACTGACATGAATAGCTAGTGATATTGTGATATACTCATGATATAGTGCAATGATAGGTGATATTGCATGATCAAGGTTGAGCACCCACAATAAACAAAAAGCTAAACATGAGAAATTGCCTGTTGAGGAACAAATGGTGGCAAATATATTGATAGAGATACCTGAGAAGAACTGAACAATTTCTTCCTTGCTACATCCAAACGGGAGTCCCCGCAGTCGCAACATGCAGCCGCTGCAGCTGTCATAGTCAGCAGGGCCACAGCGTTTCAGCACCCAGTGCATCTCACTCAGGTTTGACTTGAAGACTGTTTCCAAATGAGATCCATACAATGAGTGTTACATGAGTGTTCAATGGTTTTCTGATTGCAGCCATTACCTTCTATGTAGCGGTGCCCCATGTAAGCTCTGTCTTTAGCCAGAGCATTTTTGAAGTCGTCTTCAGTTTTCAGTTCAATAAATGCCTCTCCACTGGGCCGACCTTCTTTAGAGTAAGTGAAGCACACTCCACTTACTTCGCCAACAATGTCACAATCTGTAAACAACACAAACAGCCTTTAGAGTGGACTGGCACAATAATGTGTTTGCTCATAACTCACGCACCTGAAAAGAAACTTGCCACTTCCTCTTGAGTGCAGGACCAGGGCAGCCCTCTGATCCTCACCACGAACCCCTCATCGTTCACAGACATCCTCCTGCCACAGCACACACAGGGTGACGTCACAGGACAGCATATCATGTTGTATCCAGAGGAACGGTACTGGGGTGATAACCATGGTGATAACCCAGACCCTCACTGTTAATTCGTTACTTCCGCGTAGCGCGAGGCTAAGTGCTAAACGCTTTCTGATATCATAGAATCCAAGTGTTCAGCTACGGACACAAACACCAGAGGGAATACTCAACAACGCAGTATTCTGTATTCCCAGGACTAGTGTGTTGATGATCCACTTTGAAGTTGATTTGCCTCAAACACATATTAGCTTAGCATCGAGCAGTGAACGTTCATATCTGCGGCTGTAGGGCAGGACAGCGGTCACATGAACCAAGAGCACACAAGCTGACATTGTTGACATCGGCTAAAACAGTACGTTGCACTCTTATGGACGACCACCGTAAAATATAGTTGCAATATTATCTTTATAATGAGTTCCAAATATTGGACTTACTCCGGTGTCCTCCTGCAGGGCGATGGGAAACACAGGTGGCTCTCGCGAGAGTTGGTGCTGTGCATTAAAGAGAGGGATTGTTTAATACGAACTATGACACTATCAGGCAAGCTGTAAACATTTGTGTCATGGTCAAAACAATCAGTCTCCACTCATGATGATGACATCAAATTTAACTTCAACAGCGGTAGCGAACCGCTAACATTTATTTAGTGTGTGCTTGAACCCTTTTCTATTACCACATCCGTGGGGTGGACCCATGTGGTTGGTGCGTTTAAAGTCCATTGAACAGTCACTTTGTTTCTGTCATACTCAGCTGTTAACACAACAGACAGCCACAATCCAGTCAGAAAAGACAGGTTTGACTCATAAACATAATGGAGATTCCAGTTTATACCCTGGATTCCTTCACCAGCCAACCCTTTAAGGGGAACCCTGCAGCAGTCTGTCCTCTGCAACATGTAAGTGAGCTGTAAACTTGTCATTGTTTAACCTGAGCTTTTGTAGCATGTGTTTGTTCTCATGAATAGGAGCTGAGTGATGAAATGTATCAGAAGATCTCAGCAGAAATGAACTTGTCAGAGACTGCCTTTGTAATCAAACTGAATCCATCTGACAACTTCACTACAGGTGAAAACTAATCATATTAGACTATTATTTAACTTTCATCCCACTATGTTATGTTATAACTGAGAAGTAACCAATTTACCCAATTCCTGATCATGCACCTTATGCTAGGACTTATAGTAGAGTCATTATTATGTTGTATTTGCCTAAAGTAAACACATTTAGCATTCTGAATACTCGCTAAACAATGTGGAACCTATAGAGTCAAGACTTGTATTGTTGGGAAGTACATGAACAATGCAATGAAGCCCTTTTAAAGCCATCGTTATCTACATTTTGTACTCACACAGAGCCTCAGTTTTCATCACACTTTAAGCTGCAGTACACTACTTTTGTTGTTTCAAAATACATTAGTTGCTCTGTTGGAACAAACAAATCAGACCACAACATTCCCGTCTTTTTTACATTTGATCTTTTAGGTACTGAGAGTGAGGGCTGGCTGTCACATCTTTTAATCAGACTTTTCAGTGGAGGAAAACCAGAGGCCAAAAATACATGTGTATGAAAACTTGTGATACAACCAAACTGCTTTAATAATGATATCCATCTAACTAGTTACTCGTTAAGTGGTTATTATTTGTGGTTTCAAAGATCCAGCTTTAACATGACCAGTTTTCGAACAGGGTCGAGGTTTCGACTTCGATGGTTCACACCAACTACTGAAGTAAATTTATGTGGACATGCCACTCTGGCCACTGCAAGAGTTTTGTTCCAGTATGAAAGTAAGTGCCAACATAAAGCTGAAACTGAATAGTTATTGACAGTGAGGCTTGAAACCCAACTAATGTTTCAGACAATGTGAATACCAAGCTGGTGTTTGAGACCAGAAGTGGAGAACTGTGTGTCACTCGGTTTGGGGAAAATTGTATCATGGATTTCCCTCTCAACCCAGCGAGCCCTGCAGTGAGTTATTACACAAAACCCATTTGTTTAAACAAAGAATCGAGATTTTCAATATGTTTTGGTATTTTAGGATCCACATGAGTTCAGAGACGTAATCAAGGTAAATTTTAAAAGTACTAATCAGTCTAAAATGATATATTATATTATTATACTTATACCTATGTCATGTTTCACATAGGCCGCAGTAGGGAGTCTGCCGGTTCAGGAGGTCTACTTGAGCGCAAAGACAAAGAAACTCCTGATTCGATTGGCTGACAGCTGTCACAGGTGAACTTCATAAATCCATCTATTATTTATCTATTATGTACTATGACATAATTAACCCACCAATGCATTATTATAGATCAGAATTACACAACTTGAAAATAGATCCTCTTGCTCTGCAAAGAAGTGACTCAACTGGAAAAGTCAAAGGAGTTATTGTCACAATGATAGGTAATGGCCTTGCGTTACCAACATGTATGTGAAAATATAGATACATGTATGTTCATATTAGATTTGCCAACAGGATCTCCAAATGAACAGCCAGGATACGACTTCTACTCCAGATATTTTGCTCCATGGTTTGGAATCACTGAAGATCCCGTCACTGGTATTCTCGTAGCTTTACTTGGTCTATGTTAAAACTGCTTAACATAATTTATTCTGCAGGTTCGGCTCACACGGTCTTGGGGAGCTATTGGGCTGAAAAACTAGGAAAACGCAAGTTACTGGGTAAAATGAACAGGTAAAATGTTTAGGTCACATAATCTAATTATATTCTAAAACTTTCTTCATCATTACAGCTTATCAGTGCTCCAGCAGAGGGGGAGAAATGGAGCTAGAAGTGAGAGATGATGGAAGAATCAACATATCTGGAACTACTGTTACTATAATGCGTGGAACCATCACAATATAGAAAAACAGATTTTGATATTTAAATAATCATTATCATAATTGTGAGTGAATGATTAGCATTAGTATTTGAAACTTACATTATTTATTAACAATAAAAAACACTAATTCAGATATACAAAAAAAATAAAAATACAATTTTAAAAGGCTTAATAACGAGATAGAATCAGCCAGCCCAGTGTTATTGGTCCAAATGAATTCAGATTAGTTAAAACAATTTATAAACCAATGATAGGTGGCTTTTCCACTGTTAAAACATTACAATCTATAAATAAAAATGCAAGCCAATAAAATAACTTGACATAAATAAGTACAAGTCCTCTGAAGTCGTTCACTTATTTATACTGTATCTTTGAGCAGCTCCCCGATGGAGATCATCGTTGAGACAGACTTTGTCACAGTTGGAATCTGGGAAGACTCTTGTGAGCCGCAGGAGGGAGCTTTATCAAGTACAATGTTGATTAAGGAAAACACACATGTGAGAAATGAGTCATTATAGAGGTTCTACCAGGGGAAAATATTGTAACCTGTTTCATGGTTCAATTGTAATTATTGAACCATGTAACAGGTTCATCTATATTTTGAGTAACCCTATATTTACTTTCCTGCCTTTGAGGCTTGAGTTATGTTTTCACCTAAAATAAGGATCATTTTATTTCATGTTTAATGTTCAATCTTCAGAAACACTGTTGACGGAAGCGAGACGCCGAACCCACTGGCACATCAAAGCCCCCAACCAACACCATCCATTCACTCATTACATTCATACCTATAGTACATGTTTTTAGTGGTAGGGGAAAACACGGGGAGAACATGTGAACTCCACTCAAAAAGGACTTATGACCAGGATTCAAACCCAGGACCTTCTAGTTGAGAAGCGAGAGTGCTATCCACTCAGCCACGTAAGTAAGTAATCTTTATTTATATACCGCCTTTCAAAGACCAAAGTCACAAAGCGGTTTACAATTGTTATTTTTGGGCACTTGTCCTCTCTCCACACAGAGATGGGAGCGGGGTAACGTGACGCCTAAAGTGTCCGAGACACATCTGTCTTCATCTTAGCTCGAGGCCGGGCTGGTCGTATCACAGCCGACCCCTCTCACCCTGCACATGGACTATTCCAACCACTCCCCTCAGGCAGGAGACTGCGGTCCATCAGGACTAGAACCTCCCGCCACAAGAACAGTTTCTTCCCCTCTGCTGTTGGACTCTTGAACACTTCTTAACCTGTCCCCCCGCCCTTTATAAAGTCACTTTACTGCCCATCATACGTCACTTTACTTCACTGTACTGCTGTCACCTTACATTGTGTGCACCATGTGCACTTGGATATTGTAAATAGTAACTGTAACTCTATTTTAAATTTAAATTTATTCTTTAGAAGTGTTTTTTATTCTTATTTTTATTATCTCTTTTTGACTGTTGCACTGAGCCAAAGCAATTTCCAAGTCTGTGACCTCCTGTTACTTACGTGGCAATAAAAATGATTCTGATTCTGATTCTGATTAGAAAACATGTTATCCAGCACGGTGGCTGATAGCCCTCTCACACCTCAACAAAAAAGTCCTGGGTTTGAATCCCAATCGGAACAGTCTCTTTCTGAGAGGAGTTTGCATGTTCTCCCCGTGAACTGTGGTTTCCTCAGTTGTTTCCCTTACCACTAAAACATGTACAACAGATAAAGTCCTCCTGACCAAGCTGAGCATCAACATCTGGAGATGGGTCCCCGGGCGCTGTACTACGGCGACCACTGCTCCTGATAGACGCCCTAGTGACATCAGGATGGGTCAAATGCAGAGGATGAATTGCCCTACAGGGATAAAGTGCACCTTTACATAATTGTAAGAAAGCTCTCAACCCAAAGCATCAAAGAGGGTCTGATTGGCTGATTATTCTTTTGTAAAATAAATACATAGAACAAAAATATAAATGGTCTTTATTGCAGTTAATTTTTGTGGCTTGAAAGTTAGGTACCCCAGCTTTAAGATTCTTTGTTTGCGACAAAAGGATATCATATTCTCTTGCTGGAGATGTTGGAGTAGTTTATCCACTGGCTCGTACCGGCGCAGTGTAGAGGCGGAACCCACCATCAGAAGCTTGTGTTTCGCTCTGGTGATGGCCACATTCAGGCGACGCCAGTCCTTCAGCAGCTCTCCCAACTAACAGGGACCGACATGGGCATTTAGGTAAATATTGATGCAGAAACTCACAGAGGTGGCAAACTTGAGCAAAAAGTATAGACACACAATGGACTCTGGTAAAAAAAAAAGTAAAATGCACTTTTGTTGAACCACTGAGAGAATATATACACTGTATTTCTGAGGGATTGAGTGTTTCAAAGGCAAAGCTTACAAATAGCCTTATACCGTTTAAAACATTTTTCATACGGGCAGAGAAAATTAGTCTGAAATCAATTAATTAAATTAATAAAAAATTAGGCAGAAATCAATTAGTCTGAACTTAGAAGCACGGCTAACCACACGTAATTAATTCACTTGACATAAAAAGAGTGGAGGTGACTCGACCATAAAATGTAAGGAATAGAAAGTACAGATATTTGGGTTTCAAAGGAGAAGAAAAGAAAAAACCAAGTGAAGCAGTTATGAGAAACACAGTACAATTTCCCCACACTGATAAATGAATAGAGAGAGCCTCACGTTTCCCTCCTCCGTTGTGCTCCTCACAAAAGAGAGCACGATTACGCTCTTGTCCCGGCCTTGGTACTTGTCCACCGTATTGACCTCCACCTCTACAAAAGCAGACGACTGAAGCAGACCAGAGATGGATTTCAGCTGCTGTCGATACGGAGCAATCACGCCGATGTCACTTGGTTTACACCCAGCCTAAATGTGACAACAAATGTGTTCAGTGAAAACAAATTAATAAGAACTTGAATATGTGAATACCTTTATGAGCAGTGACACCAGTAAATGAACAACTTCTGCCTCTGTTTGATTGCTCACACCGCCTTGCTCCACTGACTCCAAAGCTGGAACCTTGAACAAATAAATAGTTTCATGTAATATCCTTGTTATACTATTCCTAAGTCATAGTTCACTGACCACTGAACAGTCCAGGAAGCAAACTGCATTGTCCGGTAGTAGTGCATTCCGAATCCATGACAGGTCATGTTGTGGGTGGTCCTTTGAGTGCGAACTGAGCTCTGATTGGACAGAGAGCAGGAAGGGCAGTGTGACCTGTGCGCAGGCGGCACGCTCCGAGCCGCACTCCAGGCGGCCTTCATACATGAGCGAATTACTGAGAGACATGATCTGCCTGAGGGCACAGCAAGAGTTATTTTCAAAAATGATCATTCAATAGTGACAAATTAAGCTTGTACCTGTTCATTCTGTATTGCACATTTAGTTGTACCACTGCTTCACTGTAGCACTCAAGGCGTTTAAAGAGGCTTTCGTCCATCCCTAAAGACCTGGAAACATTATTAAACAAAAACTGAAGTCACTCAGTGTTTGCCTAATCGCAGGAGAAGCATGGATTGTATACAGATGGACAATGCTAACCCACTAGCTTATAAAGCAATAACGCCTTCAGGGAAAGTGCTCATAGGTGCTCTATATGATCTTGGGGCTATGTTATTAATATATTTGTAAATCCAGCTACAAACCTCAACTACTGACCAATCAGGAGTCTTCTGTTGCTCAATTTGGCTTTAGATTACAAGGGGCAGACCAGCGCTACTCACGTTTGTCTCTTGGGTTGCTAAGTCGTTACGACCTACGTTACGTGATGCTTGTAAGGAGCCCGTTTGAACTAGCTATTGCCCTATAGCAAACAATATGGATGACGGCAGCACTACACTTCTACACTCTACGGTGTGGGATGAAGCTGATTGGAGCTCGCTCATATAGCGACAGGAATTTGGAGCCAAAATTGTCAGTAGAAACCAAAGAGCCAAATGTGCAGATATGACCTGATCTGAACAGACGTAATCAAAATACAACAGAAATTTACACCCCAGAGAAAGTGGAGTGAATATTAACTTTAATATTCAAAAATTGAAGTGATTAGAAATTGAGAGACAAACAAAATAATTTTACCTTGCTTCCTGGTTTTGGACGATTGGCGGCAGTTGTTGATGATCACCCACAAGGACAAATCGTTTCGCATAAAACAGTGGCCCAAGGCAGATCGGCTGGCTGATTTGAGAAGCTTCATCTACTATGCAAAAATCAAATTTGCGGCGAGAAAAAATTGGGTGTTTGATTCCCATACATGTTGTTGCCACAACCAGCTAAAATAAAACAAAAATGAAATTAAAAAACAACCTCCTTATGTCACAGACGAAAAGTTGAATGTAAAAGAAAAAAATCTGACCTCTTTGTTATAAAGCTTCTCCAAGTCGGACAGCGTTTGAACTTTCTTTCTTGCAATTTCTTCAGTGAACGGTAGAATATCTGGATGAACCTAAAACCCAGATGCAAAATTAAAAATCATAAATTAAAATAAAATGTCAAAAAAATGTTAGCCATCCCAAACCTTGTGTCCCTGGCCAAGGCGCAGAAACCCGACTTGAAATCGTTTAAGTTTCAGCAGGATGTTGTCGACAGCAGAGTGAGTGTAGCTGGTCAGCAGCACACTGAACCCACACGCGTGTAGTATACGGACCTAACATTTCATTTGTAAAACAGTTCAAAAATCATACAAACAAGACCAGATGTAGAATAAATAATGTGCATTCTTCAAATTACCAAAGTGCAAATTGTGGTGGTCTTTCCTGTACCGGGCATCCCTACAATCAATGTGTAGTCTTTAGATAAAAGAACCTTTTTCATAGCTTGTTTTTGAGGTTTGTTGAGACCTGAAATCACATCACACAAGTTGTTAAAAGCATCACTACGCAATAAAAATCCTTGTCAACTGTTTAGTACACAGATTAGAGCTGAGCAATGTGACCAAAAAATTATATCACGATAAGAGGAGGAAATGTGATAATATAGTTCACAATATAAATAGCACTGGGGAAAAATTATATTAAATAAATATCATAATTTTATTTCATATCATATTAAATAAAAAATAATAATTAAAAAACGCAGTTAATGAATCAGTCTTATTGCTCTCAAAAGTGATGGCTCTATCCCTAATTTTAATAAGCATGTATTTTTGGATTCTAGATCAGGACTTAAGACTTTAGACTTAGAACAGCTTTTCAGACAGAAAAGTACATTTCCAGACATAGAGCGTTTTTTGTCCTCGAGTTGACATGAGAAAGAAATGTGAGCAGGAAAGTTTCCTCCTTCTCTCCACACGCTCAGACCAAAGATAAACATCACCAGTGCACAATCACAGATGCCATAGCAGTATTTATAGTATTTCAGTTTCTAAATGATGCCAGTATTGATAAAGGTATTACATCACCCAGCGCCAACAGATTTGTTCTGACCTTTGAGGATATTGGCCACAGTGTCTTTGGCTTCTCTTGGCAAAACTGAGCTGAGGTTGGAGATGAACTCAGGAGCCCGAAAGTCAATGACGAGGTCTCTCAAACGATCACTGCACATAAACATATGAATGTCGCAATCAAACTACAGAAATTATCTCCATAATAAGGGTTAGGGTTAACAAGAGAGGTGCTGGGTCAGGGAGTGAACGATGGGTGTGTGTGTTTTGTTTGACTCATACCATCTGTGGTAATCTACGGAATAGTATTACTGGTAATGTGTTTTTCTGAATTGTATATATTCTGAATATTTTCTTGTATTGTAGTGTGATCTTCTGTTGAATGAGTGGATTGGAATGATGTGTGTGTCATGTTGTGCAGGTTTGAAATAAATAATAATCCAAACACTTTACTCGCCAGTTGGAGAATATTTACAATTTATCAATCAATGTGCATTCATGTAAATGTTGGTAAATATAAAAATCATATTCATTTTTTGTCTCAATCAAATCAATCGTTGAGCCACTTGTATTTGAATCTAGTTTGTGGGTTAATTACCTGTCAGCAGAGTTGTCCATGAGCCTGGAGATGTTAGTGAGGTGAGTGTTTAATCCCACCACTCCTTCATCACTGTCCATTCGAAACAGAACACTGTGGAACTGGGACACATCTCTGAAACATGGACGAAGCAGCGCAGGTCATAACAACGGTTATTACATGTAAAAATACGGCCCTGACAACATAATTACGTCGTTCTCACCTGTCCAGGGTACAGCTGACAAAGGTGTTGCCAACTTCACACACGTAGCCGGTTGCTAACCCAATAAAACGTCCTTCCTGGTCGCTAAGAACGATGCGGTCTCCAGAAGCCAGACCCACTGCTGATGCCAGACTTCTCTTAAAGCGGTGGAGGAAAACCCCATCGGACTTTGTCTCCACTGGACCGCAGATCTCAAGGTTACCGATACAGCTGCCTTTCTTTTCACTGCGATATCACAAAGCAGAGCAAAGTATTTTTTAGACAATGGGATGTGCCCGCCATTACCTGTAGTATTACTGGTATACAATAGCTAAAGGGCATTTCTTATAAGGTTTTATGATTCAGCACATATAAAGCAGAACCAGGGTGTAGTAACTTACCCTTCCTCAGGGGATTGAAGCCACACATTTTTCCGTCGGTTTTTAGATTCCATAGTTGCAGCCTCAAGACAACAGAGCAGGAGCCAGTGGGAGAAGTATCTTAGGTGCGGGACAGTAATGTGACCGATCTCTTCGTCCAAAAAGTCACAAAGTACATCCGTTAAATGCTCAGGGTCATCTTTTAGGACTCTAAAAACAGAAGGTTGAGGAGGTTGAGGACTTAAACAAAAAAACAAAAAAACAATTTACAATAGTTTTTATACTATACCTTTCATACAGTGCACAGTTTCTCCTTTGGGGACAGTACTGGCAGGTTTGTCTGTTGGACACGATCTCTGGTAGACTACACAGACTACTTTTATCATCACTTTTTTCAATGCTGTGATGAATATGATGAGCCAGAGTGTTTCTTATCTTTATGAGCTCTGCAGTATAAAAATCAATACATACTATTGACTCATAACTTATTTGTTTTTGCACCATAATGCCAGTCCTAGTGTGCAATTTTTTGGCAATAAAAACATCCCGTATGTTTTTTAAATGTACCTAAACTAAACATGCACAAAAGTTCTGGTATGTACCCATCTGTGTGTGGAGTGTGACAAATGCCCACAACAATTGTAAAGCACTTTCTGACTCTGGTCTGTGAAAGGCGCTATATAAATAAACATTAAAAGGATTATTACCTCTGCGATCCATGTGTCCAGCTACAACAGGATGCACATTGCCACTCTTCAGGTAAAGCAGGAAGCCAGTTTCTGTGTTGTATCTCTCAGAGCTCATCAAAGTATAAAGAATCACCTACAACAAAACAACATTGAACACATTTTAAAACTGAACTAATATTTGAATATCAGGCATTTCTGTTTCACACACCTGACTGCGGTGCTCTATGGAGTTGGACTCTTTGCCCGTTTTGAGTTCAAGTGGAACTGTTTTTGTTTCAGCCGTGCGGACACTTGTATTTCTTGCTCTTTGGATGGACACTTGTGCGGTCAAATCTATTTTTCCCTTCAAGCCGAATTTTGGGGACCACACATTCTCCTCGATATCTGCCAGCTCAGTGATGGTGACGGCCGCGGTGTCCTGACATCTGCCAGAGCGTGGACTGAAATGGGACAACATAATATATATATATATATACTTTTGCTGCTTATGAAGATTTAACATAGGTGCACATACATTCTGAGAGGAATGGATTTTGGTGAGTGGGCGTCAAGGTAATCCCGAGCCCATAGCTCGAGAGAAGGCAAATAATCCAGTAATTCCTGCCTCATTTCTGCTTCTGTTACTCCCAGACTGTACCTGCAAAATGAGGGTTTTTTTTTTAACACATCAAAAAAACAAAGGTTAATTACCTCCAAACAATCCATTTTGGAAATACCTACATGTCAGACAAGTGCAGAGGACTTTGCAAGGCCTGATTGCCCAATTTGAGAAGTTTCTCTGAGGAGAAGTTCTTGGCCATGGCTGCCTTTTGAAATACTTCATGAACTATTGTACCATTCAGCATCTGCTTTGAACCATCAAATGACTGGAAAATAAAAATAAAAGAGTAAAATATATTAAAAGAAAAAACAGGCTTTGAAATACAATAGTTCCAGGTTTGGTCAAGTCCGCTTTTTACGGCCTTCATCAAGAGTGAAGCAACCACTACTTTTCATTTTGTAGTACAGGGTTAAATGTGCAAGTCCAAATTTAAAGCTGGTGTACCCAACCATCAAACAATATCCAGAAACAACCATGTAATAAATTACATCCAACTATAAACAGAGGGTTCTGTCACAATTTTAGCCTCTGCCACATGTTGAGATCTGTTCTTCATACATAGAAGTGAAAGAGCCAAGACTGCCCTTACGCAATCAATCAGCTCTAAAGCATCAAATAGTGACTCACAGGGCTCTCATTGTATGCAAGTAAGTATGCAAAAGACAATGTTTTCTAATAAGATGAAAACATAAAATTCACAAAAGACTCCTGTCCCAACAAAAAATATGGATTATTTATGACCAGCTATGTACCCCAGCTTCCAATTTGGCTAGGTTGAATCAAATGCAATACATTTTTGTTCATTGAGTTGTCCTTTTTGCTACCCTGATGAAAAATGGATGCAGTGAGGTTGTTGTCCAATTACCTTAAACATGTCGCATAGCACAGCTCTCCTCATACATCTGATGCCATTTGCGATACTGGTCCCCGAGATCAGAGTGTCGGGGTGCAAAACCAAAAACCCATGCTCCCGGTCCACTTTCCACGATCCGTTTTCGAGGAAACCCTCAAGATGTATCACATCCCCGTGCAAAACAGGGGATGTCTCCCTGAAATTAAGCAAAGCAAAAGGTTGTACAACAAAACAAAGATACAATTGAGACTTTTACTACAATGTACGTTTTTGAAGCTAGCTTTACCACCCATCTTTAAGCAAACACGTCTCAGTCAGTTCTAGAGATTTATGGCTCGAGATTGTCAGGATCTTTGAGCCAGGTTTTTCTTGAACATCCAAAACCCAATAGCGGTTATTGGCTCCAGCAGATAGGATTACATGGTCTGGCACTTTTCTGCAAATCCCAAAGTTGTCAATAAAAAGTACCAATTGAACAATCAAATGAACATCAGCCTAATCCTACGTATACCTGAGTTTTTTAGGTTTGCTTTCAATTGACTGCATGTCCTCTGTGAACCAGTTCTCATCCAACATGCTGTCCAGTAAGTTCAGATCCACATTTGCTGTGTTCAATGTGGTACAAAATATTAGTATATAACGCTACATGTACACATTCAAACAGCAAAAACAATATACATAATTTAAAAGTAAACAAAAAATACCTGCAGTCGCTGGATCCTCTGCAAGCTTCTCCTCATCACATCTATTTGCACCATTCTTTACTTCCTCTTCAGGTAAATCCGTAATGACGGTAAAACAGGAGTCTCCATTGCTTTCATCCGACCTCTCAACATCTGATTTATTGGAGGCCTTCTTGGATTTAAAAACCTGGTTCTTTGAGGTTGTGTCTCCATGAATCAATGTAATTCTAGGCCTCTTCGCTTGTTTTGAATCTTCATGAGGACTAAAGACTCTTTTCACCGATCCATTACTTTCCCGAACAACGCTTTCCTTCATTTCTCTTGGCGCTAACTGGTCTTTGACCTTCGGACTATGGCAGGAAGTAAATATTGGTTTGATATTTTCTATGCTAACTAGACTACTTCTTGGACTTGGACTATTGCGTTGACTAGTTGGGGTCTCAGGAATAGGTAAAAACTCTGGTGAAGGAGAAAGACTGTTCTCCAAATCTAAAGATTTCGTTTTTGATGGTGGATTTAGCAAAGGTTTAAAAGTAGGTGTTTCAGCCTTTGAGGAATTACTTTCCACATCCTGAACAAAAGAAAATAAACGTTTTACCAACGGAATAATATTGCTCAGTGTATGGCATGAAACACTACTATACCTTTTTTGAAGGACTGAAGAAGGTGGAAATGTTCCCCAATCCTGCTTTTGCAACCTAAGAGAGAATGTTCAACCATATCAAATAAGAACACAGCTCACAGTGAGGCTGTAGGGTTCTGCTTGGGAACCAGCCAGATCACTCGAGTTTTATCATATAAATCATCACACATGCATAAAACCATTGTTTCTTTCCAGTCAAAGTATACAAATATTTAGGATTTATGAAACACATTTGCAAATAAAAAACACGCAGCTTTGAGAACAAAGTACATTGTGTTCATTAATTTATTGTTTAAGTTTATTGACGAGATCCAGGTCAGTTAGTCTGTTCGGACCAATGTTAGACGCTTTAATAAACGTGAATATAATGTGTAGAGCCGACAGTGGTCCAAACCGTATACTGCATCCAGAGGAATGAGAGCATATGAAAGAAGCATTGAATTCATTTTGACTTGATCGTGCACCAGTTTCTTGTTGATTTTCTGCAGCTAACTACAAGATGAGCGTGTGGAGATCTTACCTTGGTCTTCTTGAGTTTGCTCATGATTATGTGCCCGTGTAACCTTATGCCACTAACATCAGTTTACACTGAGGGTGTTGTGCATCTTTAAAAACAACAGAGCAGGAGGCAAAAACAATGTTTTAGCATGGGTTTTCGGTGCTGTTTTGATATTTGGCGCATAGGAAGTGTCACGGAAAGACTTCCGGCGGAGCGCAGGTGTGATGTTCTCCGCAAACCAGCAGGTGGCAGTAGCAGTCTGTTCAGCTCCATGTTTACTGGCTCATCAAGTTTGATTATTGATTATTAATATGTAATTATGCCAAAGTGCTCTTTTTGACCATGTACTTGTTGCCATTTGAAAGTATCCTATATCATGTATCACCATTTAAAGTATACTCTTCAATTATAATAATAATAATAATAATACATTTTATTTATATTGCACTTTACATTTCAAAGAAACCTCAAAGTGCTACAACAGGTAAATTAAAATCAGATAAAACAAAATGAACATGACATAGTAAAACAAAGCAAGCACAAGAGCAAAAAACAAACTAAAAGGCCTTTTTAAATAAATGTGTTTTCGGGCCTTTTTTAAAGGCCTCAACACTCTGGGGAGCCCTCAGGGTCTCTGGCAGGGCGTTCCAGAGTCTAGGGGCAACTGCCTTAAAGGACAACTCACCCTCAAATCCACTTTTTTTTGCTGATAAACGGTATAAATGAGTGTCCAATAGTGTTGTCTACATATCCTGGTCATAATCTTGTCACTTTGGTGCAAATTAGTTGAAAGTTAGACTTTCTGCCTAAAACCGTCTGTGAGGCGCCATCTGCTGGCGACCTGTATTACTACATTTGAATTTTGAATCTGGCGCCAACACTGGCACAGAGGTTGGACCTGACTCTGCAAGTTGGACCTGACGTCAGCAGCCCCCCGCCCAGAGCAATGTAAACGGCCCAGTCTCGTTCACGCCCCCTTCAGTCCTCCAGGCTACGCCCATTTAGAGGAAGATTTGAACAGGAAATGTGAGTAACGTAAGCTCCGAGGAGCGGGGGTGAGAACCACTTTAAAGGCCCTATCTCCCATTGTGGAGAGCTTGGTCACGGGCTGGTGAAGAGTAGGGGTGGAAGTGGACCGTAAGCGCCTTGTGGTGGTGTGTGGAGTAACTAGCTCAGTGAGGTATGTCGGGGCTGTTCCATGGACACATTGGTATGTGAGGAGGCAGATTTTATAGTGGATTCTGTAATGGATGGGCAGCCAATGAAGAGACTGGAGGACAGGGGTGATGTGGTCATACTTGCGCCTCCTCGTCAGGATCCTGGCTGCACAGTTCTGGATGTGCTGGAGCTTCAGCAGGCTCTTACCAGGGATCCCGACAAGGAGGGCATTGCAGTAGTCCAGACTGGAGGAGACAAAGGCATGTACCAATTTCTCAGCCTCTGTCTGTGAGAGGGAGGGGCGGAGTTTGGCAATATTTCGTAGATGATGGAAGGACACTTTGCAGAGGTGGCGGATATGATTCTCAAATGAAAGATGAGGATCAAATCTGACCCCTAGGTTTGTAACAGAGGAGGAAAGGGGAATGTTATGGCCCGAGACATGAATATTGGATATGGTGGATGACTGGATTTGGTGCCGGGTGCCAATCAAGATGGCTTCAGATTTGCTACTATTCAACTGGAGGAAGTTGCTAGTCATCCAAGCCTTTATCTCCTCCAGGCAGGCGTGGAGTGTGCGGCCGGTGGGACTGAGGAGGATGTGGAGTCAATTTTCATGTACAGCTGCGTATCATCAGCGTAACAGCTAAAAGAGACTTGATGGTTTCTGATTACCTGGCCTAGGGGGAGCATGTAGATTGTAAAAAGGACCGGCCCCAGGACCGATCCTTGAGGGACCCCACAGGTAACTGTGTGGGGCAACGATTTAGCCTCCCCCTGGGCGACATACTCCTTTCTTCCTGTGAGGTATGAGCGGAACCAATCTAGGGTATTATCGGTGAGGCCAACAACTGACTGGAGCCGATGGAGTAGGACATGATGGTCCACGGTGTCAAAAGCGGCTGACAGATCCAGGAGGACCAGGAGAGATGGTGAGCCCTGATCTGCAGCCATCAGCAAGTCATTTGTGACTCTCACCAAGGCTGTCTCTGTGCTGTGTGCTGACCGGAAACCTGATTGGAATTTTTCGTACAGATTATGTGTTTGAAGATGATGATGAAGCTGGGCTGCAACAACCTTCTCCAGGACCTTGGATAAAAACGGTAGGTTAGATACTGGTCGGTAGTTTGCCAGATTTTCAGGGTCTAATGAGGGTTTTTTCAATTGGGGATGAATGACTGCAGTTTTGAGAGCAGACGGGACTTCACCAGATTGTAATGAATGATTTATTACTGCAGTAATTAATGGACTGATGGCAGGGATATTGGCTTTTATTAGTGGTGTTGGCAGTGGATCCAAAGAGCATGTAGAGGCCCTCATGTTCATCATGATGCCCTCTACCTCTGTCTGTGTAATACTGTGAAATTGAGAGAATGTGGACTGTGGTTCCAAAAGCATATTTCCTGGATGAAGGGGAGGCAGAGCAGGAAAGGTAGAGCGTATTTGATCAATCTTGTTGGTAAAAGAGTCCATGAACCTATTACACTGATCCTCACTGGTATCACTGTTTGTGTGTATGCGGGGTTTGAGGAGCGAGCTAATGGTGGAAAATAGTTTTTTTGAATTTCCTGAATTACTGGTGATTTTGTGTGAATAGAATTGAGATCGGGCTGTAGCTAGAGCTTTAGAATAGGCTTTTTGATGGTTTCGATAGGCTTCTTTATGTACTACCAGCCTGCTAGCCAGGTACTGCCGCTCCAGAGCTCGACCAGTCGTTTTCATTTTTCTCAGCTCATCTGTGAACCATGGGGATGATCTGGGAAAAGAAACTGTTCTTGTTTTTAACGGTGCATGGATGTCAAGAATTCTATGAAGGCCTGAGTTGTAATGTTGAACAGATTCACTAACTGATGTAGAGCTAGTGAAGGAGGAGAGTTTTTGAATGTCCTGGTTCATGGAGGCAGAATCTATCTTTTTCAGGTTTCTAAACTGTATTTGGCGCTTTGGTCTGGAGCATGAGCATCCTAGGGACAGCTCCATTGAAATGGCCTTATGGTCAGACACACCTAAGTCATAGACTTGAAGGTTAGTTATAGGGGCAGTGTCGGTTATGACTAGATCGAGGGTATGCCCCTTCGTGTGTGTGGGCCCTTCTACATGTTGCTTGAGATGGAGACAGTCCAAGAGTTCGAGAAACTCACAAGCAAATTGGTTTGTGGGGGAGTCAACATGCAAGTTAAAATCCCCAAGTATGACTGTATTGGAGGATGTTGCACAGAGTGATACGAGCAGGTCCTGTAGTTCAATGATGAAACCTGAATGCATTTTAGGTGGACGGTAAATAAGGACTATTGTTGTTGTTATTTTTGATATACATTTGAATAAAAGGCATTCAAATGTGGATAACGCCGGCACAGGGAGGGATAGTAGATGGAGGTCTTTGTGGTGTATCACTGCCAAGCCTCCTCCACGTCCAGTGGTCCTAGCCTTCTCCAGGTAAGTGTATCCAGGGGGACAGGCCTCATTCAGGGCGAGATATGACTCTGGTTTATGCCACGTTTCAGTTAGGCACATAATGTCAATATTTTTATCAAGAATATGTTCATGTATAAGACTGCTTTTATTTGTCAGAAACTGGGCATTAAAAAGTTCGATTTTAATACTGGGGATGGTCTTTAGCCTTGGAAGAGAGCGGAGTAGGCGAAAATCCACTCCACGTCTTTCATGTCTCCCATTTTGTGATATTATTATATTATATACATTATATATATTATAATTATATACCCAATTGTGTTATAGCTATGCAATCTTTTAGCCTCATTGAATTATTCAACCCTCAAATCTACAGCCCTTGATTCAACAATTACATCAACAACAACAACATCTACTAAAAAGTTAAATAAAGCCAATATTTGTGTATAATGATTGTGAGTGATCTACTGATCATGTTGTAAATGTATGCTCCACATCAGCAAATCTGATCCTCCTCAAAACACAATATTATGATGTGGTTGAATAGTTTATTATGAATCAATACCCATATAAATTATTATATTTTGGAAGTTGAAACCATGTGGTTCATAGTTTGCATTATTCATCGTCACATGTTAATTTGTATCATGCATTTGGTACACATAATCTGACAGCTTTCCGTCTGTAGAATGACGCAGCTGGGAGCACTTGCACATGTCTATACCGACTGAGTGATCAGTTCATTTGTCTCAAATGAACCGTTCATTCACATAATTCAGCACAATCAGTCTGCAGTGTGTTAAAAATTCATGTGCTTGCTTCAGTATCACACCATTCAAGTCATTCAAGTTCAGTTCTGATTTATATGTCAGTCACACCCAAGCAGGAGGAAATGGCTTTAGTTACTAAATTCAAGTTTTGTTTGATAGTGGCCAATATCCATGGGAGGCTGCTGGGAACACACCGTGAGACGGCTGAGGCTCAGAAGTGAAAGCAGTCACTTTGCTGAGTGTGTATGATGTGTCTGGGTGATTAGTCTGGGTGATTAGTGGTGGTTGGAGGTTGGTTGGTTGTCAACCTCTGTTTTATCAGTCTGTCTCAGGGCACCTATGGCTACATTTGTAGCTTACTAACATTGTGAGTGGATTGCCACTGCACTGAATGAAAACAAAGATCACTCGCTGAATTCATGTGGTGACCATGATTCAATGGCGGTGACATATTGTGGCATGACCAAATCCACCCTGTAAGATGGATACAACTTCTTTAATTGAATAACAATAATTAGTTTCTTGAATGGCTCATTGTTAGGGAGTAAACAGCTCAGTCCTGTTCATGGCAGTGTTGACATGGTGCTCTGAGAGTAACACACTGTTATTCTGCAGTTACAGAGTCTGTGCATCTCAGCTTAAGTAATTCAAGCCAAAAATTGAAGACCAGAGAGTGAATATGTGGAAATGTGCACAAAATTAAGT